TTGGTAATAGGTCATCCAACATACTCACAAGGAAGGAATACAGAGGAGTGAGATTTAAACTCCCAGGAAGGGAGTAAGGTAACACCCCATATAGATTTTAAAGCATGAATAGCCTTCACCAGGCCAAGGGAATGGAGAAGGATGGTTCAGAGCAAAGGAGTAGTATGGAAAGACAGAAGGAAGGCGTGAAGTAGCCTCGAAGCTGGAGGTCACAGGAGATGGCGTGCTATGTGAGTGAAGTGGCACTAAGAGATGAGGCTGGTGATCTGAGCCTAGCGACATTAAGCAGGGGGTGGAGCATGGAAGACCACGCCCACTGGGTGGAAGATTTGGGAGATTCTCCAGGAGGCCATAGGAAGCCAATGAAGGGTTTTCAGCAGAAGAATAACATGGTTAGATTTTTAAAAAATATTTTGAAAATAGAGATCACTGCCATGGTTTATAATGGAATGAGGATGGAGGCAGGGAAACAGCAGGATTTTACAACAGTACAAGAGATGATGAGACTTCAAAGTAAGGCACTGGCACCAAGGTGAGCAGGGAAAGGTACTAAATGGTGGTCAACAGATACATACATATATACATATATATATATACACACAGATAGGATATATATAGGAGATACATACATATATAAAATGTATATATAGTATATATATATAAAGGGAGAGAGGGAGAGAAGAAGAGACTTATTAGGGCAATTGCCTCACTTGATTGTGGAGGCTAAGAAAGTCCACAGGAGCCCAGCTAGAGAACCGGGTAAGTGGGTACCTTGGCTCAGTACAAGTCAGAAGGCCCGAGAACCAAGGAAACCAATGGAATGAGACTCCCAGTACGAGGGGAAAGGGAAAACTCTGCCTTCGGAAGGTTCACTGGAAAATCAACTCACAATAAAGTAGATTAATAAGAGAAAAGCCATGCAAATTTTATTGTTTCCATGCACACAAGGAGAATCACAGGGTGATTGCCCAATATCCCAGTGAGACTGAAAGACTTATATACCTTCATTTCAAAGTGGGGATGGGGAATATGGGTAATTCTGTTGTGGGACACTAAAAGATTATTAGGGAGATTGACTAGACACTTAAAAGAATGAATGGATGGGAAAACACAGATTGGCATAAATTGTCTTTGGAAATTAAAGTAACGTAAAAAATGGCATTATTTTGAAAATGAGTTGGGCCTGTTCTAGTTGCATTCTTGTTCTTTCCTGCAATAAATAATACAATAACAGGAAGGGGCAGGAAAGACAATTGTTTTTCTAGATAAGTCCCCCTGGTCTTTATGGAGATAGAGGGAAAACCCCTTCCAATGCCTGTTGATCTCTTAGGGCCTTTAATTCAAAATATTCTTTATACCAAGGAGTCGTACTTTGGAGTAAAATTCCCTGCACTCCTTCAAGGCAAAGGCCTAAGAACCTGGAGGGGCACTGGTATGAGTCTAGGAGTCCAAAGGCCAGAGAAGCTGGAGTTCTGATGTCCAAGGGCAGGAGAAGAAGGGTGTCCTGGCTTGGGAAGAGACAGCATGAAATTTGCGCTTCCTTCAACATTTTGTTCCACCCAGGCCCCCAGCCAACTGGACGGCGCCCACCCACGCTGAGGGCACTTCTTCCCCACTCAGTCCACCAGCTCAGATCTCCTTCGGAAACACCCTCACAGACACACCCCGGCCAGCCCAGTCATCCTAATCAGATGCCAGGCCACCTGGGTCTCCCTTTCAGCAGAAGGGCAGGCTCAGCGCTTACAGAAGTATTGAGAATAATTAGTGCTTTAGCAGCTATCTGGGTATCTCTTAATCCAGTTGATAGGAGTTGACACCCCTATCAGTGATCACAGTGGGGCATTGATGATTCTGACAGACCAAGCACAGCAAGGTGCCAGGTGGGGGCTGTTGCAGGAAGAAAATATGCATTTTTCTTTGAGGGGATTGGGGGGGGCAGGTATTGAATCAACCTGTTACATTGCTACAGGTTGAATTTTAGATGTCCTTTGATGGATTCAGTCAGCAGGAACGAAAGAGCAGGGAGGGGGCTATGGAAAAACATGTGGGGGTGATTAAATGGTGCAGAGAGAAAGGCTAGCTCGTCAGAGAAGGCGTTACGGAGAGGTGTTAGAGCTGGGATTAAAACATGACTAAGAATTTTCAGGGAATATACTTCGGTGTTAGGAGGAGGGAAGAGGTGTTCCAGGAGATGGCATGGAAGAGCGGGAAAAGAATAATCAGCTGCCAACTGTAGGAGTTGAGAAAAGAAGGAGGATCCCCAGGGGGCACATACTGAGTATTAATATCCCCTGCTGCTCCACGTCCCCATCCTCTGTGCACCCTACTAAGGAGGGGGCTCAGTATAAAACACAGAAGGATCAACTTGAAAAGTCTGAAAGCACTCGAAGTTCTGTTCCGCGTCCTGGATAGACTGGTCAAAAAAGAAACAATTACAGTACAGATGTCCAAGAACTGGGGTGGGAGTGGGATGAAAGGGGAAAAGCCACGTACTAGACACCTCCTTAAGATTTATGTCATCGGAGAACCCGTGGGGAGCAAGGACAGAAGTCACATGGCAAATGAGAATAACCATAGAGAAGTAGAGTTAAGTAATTTCAGCGTTGGGGACTTCCCAGGTAGCTGGGATAGGTACCCAACCTATTCAGTGAAATCCCAAAAAGCAAAATAGAAATGAGATAAATTGGTGAGAGAATCCAGGCTGAAGAATCTACAATGTGGAGAAGCAAACCTGGTGGCCGTGATATTTAAGGTCCTGACTTGCACACGGCTGTTTCATACTCATACGCATTCTCGCCATCGCAGATACCCCCGTGAGTACCTAGGTGCTCAATGACCCAGCCCCAAAAGGTCTGTGATCGCCTCTGTGCTTACCTCCACGGTGAAAGTGTGTCCAAGACAAACACACCTCAGTGTGCTTGAACAGAAAGTAATGGGGGATGTGGAATGTTTTCGCCTGGAGGTTGATTTTTAAGCCTAGGTTTAAAGATAAATGCTGAGAGTTTTCAGAGAATGTATTGAGAGTGGTAATAGAAAGTCCCATTATCTTTAATGAGAATTTCATGGCTAATTCCCTGTGCAGTGCTGAAAATGTGCCCCTTCAATTCGATTGCTTTTTTGCCTTAAGATGGATGGAGTGAGGGGAATATTCAATTTAGCTCTGCTGCTGCCGCCAGGATCGGATCTCGCCCCAGCTGTTGCCCGTCTCTTCTGCAGTCTGTTCATGGCTTTCCGCAGGGCTCCTCTCTGCCTGCCTTCCCTCTGCCTTTTTTCACACACGGATAACCCTTGTCTTTCAGCTCTCAGACTATGAAACGTAAGAACCCAGCATAGTCACGGGAAGATTTCATCAGGACTCTTTAACAATAATCAAATAATTAATGTTGAAAGCATCAATAGATATCCAGAGGTTATTTCTATAAATTATGCTGAGAACTCGCCTACGTGATTACTGGCTTTGGGGGCTGCAGTTATTGTTATACTGTCATTCAAATTTTCCTAAAGGGAGAGTGTCAATATTTAATAATTTATTTTATATGTGTGTGTGTGTGTGTGTGTGTGTGTGTGTGTGTAGGATAAGAGAATTCGTTGTTGAAACAGCTAGTCTGTTTCCCCTTTTTTTCCACTTAAAAGTATTCGTGTGTTTGGTTAAAAAGACGCACTTCCCTGTTACAGGGGGACAAGAACACAAATGTTGGGTTTTTCAAATCCTTGCTGACTTGTGGCAGTTTTCTCAAGCTTTTCACTTGTCACCAAAGAATTGCCAAGGGTGAATAAAGTGAGAAAGCTCAGTAGGTCAGCAGTGGCCTTTCCGTGTTAATTTTGTGCAGACTCTGCCTGTGTAGACCCAAGCAGCCACGTGGGGATTGATCAGTATTTAACACACTGCGCCAGCCCTCAGGTGTGCAATTATTCCTCCGTGTAAGGTAATGAAAGGGAGCGGGAAAAATATAACTGTGCAACGTTAATTAGTTTCTTCAATCAGGTGCTTCGTTCTAGGTGTCAGTAGACTTTTCACAGTGGTGCTCTGTGCTTAGTAGTTAAAAGTAATTAGAAGGCAGAATAAATGTGATCATTGTAGGAATGAACACAGTTAACACAGAACAGTGCATTTTATGTAGAAAAATGCAACTCTTTAGGCAAGAAGGAACACATTCTCCTTCAGTTTATTTTTACTACTTGATGGCTTTACAATCAATATACTTACTTAGCGTGCTTCAAATCCAGTTTCTTTTTAATCATGAATTCATTTTAGTATGGTGGAGTCTATATTTATAGTGAAGTAATTTGGGCCACCTGAATTCTTCTCTACCGAATAAATGCATTCAAAATATAAATGCTGGGACCAAGATTGTGATTGTTGAATTATGGATACAGGGAGCTAGCATTCTCTAAAGGTATTAACCTATGTGATTCAAATTTGGTAGTGTGGAAAGAGCCCTGGATTTTGAATCAGAAAATAGATTTTCAATTCTGTTACTTACGTGCTGTGCAACAGAACAAGTGATTAGATCACCTGGTCTCTCAGGCTTATCAGTGAAATGGGAATAATAATTTCTTTCTCATGAAGATGGTGAGATAATTAAATGAGCACTGTATGTGAAAGCATCCAGGACAGGACCTATCATTATTGAATGTCCAGATTGTTCAGTCTAAATTTGTGTTTCTGGTAGTGGGTACAGCTTCTCATTGCAATTAGAAATATTAAACACATCTGTTTAAAATGACTAGATCATACCTACTAAAATAGGGGAAACCTTGTAAGCTACTATTAAAAATCACAGTAATGAGTCACTTTCATAGGATGAAAGGGAGGAGTACGACAAATACAAGAGTTAACTCTTCTGATCCGCAAGAAACACAGTACACAAAACATCGGGCCCTGTTAGAGTTTATTTTTAGAATCCTTCTTTGATAGCTTGTAGAAAGTCATTCAGGAGCAGAACAGCTACCCTTGAATCCAAGGATAGGAAGTTAGTTTTCTTTCCTAGTGTCAAAAACCAAATGTATGTTAGAATAAAGATAAATATTTAGGACTTAAAATGAATCAGGTGCTTGCATTTGTTTATTCATTCACTTGTTGAAGGGGGGGAAACTATGAAGCACTCTATGTGCCAAGCACTGTGCTTCCCAAACTAGGGAGATACCTGCCCTCATTGCACTTACAGTCTGATGTCTTGATAAAGGAGCCCCCTTGGGAAGCCAGACAGCCATGCTGTGTAGCACTAGCTCTCTTTAATAATGAAAATAGGAGAAAGATAGTCAAAGGATTGGGTTTTTAAGCAAAGTGACTCAAAGAAGTGGATGCATATTTTCCAAGCTATGTATGTTAGAGAGAAAGAATAAATCACTTGTCATTTTGACAATTCTATTGGAGTTTCAAAAGTATTCTTCTGACTGGAAGAATATTAATAGTCTGGAAAATATTAGTAAATAATAACTGGATAGTTTTGATGGTACAATAATTAATAGAATTAATGTAAGACTAATTAATCAATATATTACAATATATATTTTCTAAGTACTACCAGAGTTGTTAACCAGCAGACATGGTAGGAGCAATGGTTAAATCCAGAGAAAGGGAAATACAAGACATTGGTTAGGAAAGGAGAATCATATCCTGTTTATAAGCCATAAGGGAATCTGTGATTGCTTTTCACTAGTATTTATTGTCCTACAATGCATTTATCACTTCACTAAACATATTTAATGAGTGAACACTTCTTGAGCAAATAGGTGGAAAATGCAGGATATAAAGAAATAAATCTTGTCTTTTAGGAGTATACATATATTACCATTGGCAGACATTAGGAATGTACGTAATTTTTTCAATATGTATGTATTGAATGCTTACTGAGTCCTGGCAATTGTTTCTAGGTCTAGAAAGGCTATAATTGATAGAGATAACCAGTCCAGCCTATTGGTGATGGGGGTGCTAGTAATATCAATAAAAATTGCTAACATTTGTTGAGAATACACTACATGCTAAGGCTATACTAAGTACTAGATATGAATTATTTCATGTAATCCTGAGAACAATCTGGGTTGTATCCAGTTATTAAACTCCATTTACAGAGAAGGAAACAGTTTAAGAAGCTTAAGTAACTTGCCCAATGTCACATAGTTATTAGAAAAGCCAGGCTCCAATTGAGGAAGTTACCTCCAGTGCCCATGTACTTAATCCTTTCAGGTAAGTATAGTATGCTAGGTTAAGAGGTATGGCGTGTGACTCAAACCAGGGTGTATGAGATAATATAAACAGGGGAGCAGTGTGTGAGAACTAGGACAGTTGGTGATTGCAGAAAACTGTAAACTTCTATTGATGCATGGGGTACAAGTGAGGAAAACCAGGCTCCATATTGTGAAGACCTTGTATTTCCTGTTAAGAAATGGGAGGCCATTCAAATGCTTGCATTTTCATCTGCATTTTAAAAGATCAGCTTCACTATGGAGGAAGACCCATAGCAAGAGACCAACCGGAAGGTCAAAGTGAGGTTGCACCAATCTAGGCAAGAGATATTAGCAGTGCAGCTAAAGAGGAGAAATTTGAGAGATAGTATGAAATATGAAATCAATAAGCATGAAACAAACATATGTCACTAGATACATTAACACCCTGAACCGCACACATACATTAATGGATGAGTTTAATTTGATAACTTGGAGGTTTACAAAGTATCCTCACTCTGGAGGTGAAATACAGTGAGGAATCAAGTTACAGATTATGGCACCCACTTCCTTCTGTTGGGGTTGAAATAGTCAGTATTCCTCTCCAACTCCTGAATGCTGCTCAGGTATCTTCAGCTTAGTAAAGTATCACAGAGAACCACAGCTGATTACATTCCTAATAACTTGTTTGCAATAGTCACTTGAACAAAGATAATGACCTGGCTTTTAATTAAAGGAGGAAAAAAATAAAAAGACTCTCATAGAATGGTGGAAATGATTTCATGTTCTAAACTTTAAATCTGTAAGACTCTAAATATAAATCTATGGCTTTATAAAGACACATCCCTGTGAACGGAGTTTTATCAAAATAATAGGTTTCTCAGGCTGCCCTTACACATACACTCTGAGGGGATGCCTTTGCCCTAAAGGAATTTTCTCTTGTTTTGACTAGAGGCAGCATTATAGTGATAAAGGATGGTGAAAACAATGCAATGCACATGGAAGCCCAGAACTAAAAAACAAAAGCAGACTGTGATCATTGGTTAGAATTCTGCATCGGGGCAAAACTCCCTAATTTCAAAATTGTTGACAAATATTTATTTCCCTTTATATTTATTTAGCACAGAATCAAGTTAGCCTCCATATTAATGCAAGTGAATCAAAATGAATTTCAGGGATTAGCCAGTTTATGTAGGTTGTTAAGGGATTGTGTCTAGTGCTACCATCTGCATAGTTGTTTACAGTGTTTTTTGGCTGTTGGTCTCTTGGACTCAGAAAACCCTACTACACATGCCTTCAGTGTTGACCAAATATCGTAAATTTCTAACAGGAAATTATTCTTCTTACTATAAACCTATACCAGCACACATACACAAAAATATCGTATTTATCCCAATGATTCAATTATATTATTAATGTATAAAATAGTTAAAAATCAATGCTCCAGTTACCTTCACAATCTAAACATGTATCCCAAAATTAAGTGATGGCAGTGGACTTTGGGGGAATAGTTTTTAGTTGTAACTATGTAACATTATTTACAAAAATTTTTTTAAAAAGTTAGCTGGCCATGGAGGTGCACACCTAGGAGTTCGAGGCTGCAGTGAGCTATGATTATGCCACTGCATTTCAGCCTGGGTGACAGAGTGAGACCCTGTCTCAAAAAATAAATAAATAAATATTAAAATGCGGGGCAATAAAAAGTATTCCTTATTAAAGGTTGCATTTTCTATTCTTAATTATTTTTCATTTTTTTCACTTCAACATCTACATAATGTCAATTTATGACAAATTGTCGTGGCTACAAAATCAGAAATCTTCATTACTCTTTTCTTATGTATTTTGTTTAATATGTCAGGCTATAACTAGATTCTGAGTAACACTCCCCTGCTAGTAATAAAAATATTTGAGATTGACCCCAAGAGGTAGCAATCTAGTGATTAGCTACCAAGCAAAACATCAGAGTTCCTGACAGTGAGCATGCTGAGAGTTAGCAAATAAATCCACGATAGGAAAACAGAGCTCAGAGGCTGGGCACGGGGACTCACACCTGACATCCTAGCAATCTGGGAGGATAGCTTGAGGTCAGGAATTGGAGACCAGCCTGAGCAAGAGCAAGACCCCATCTCTACTTAAAAATAGAAACAAAAAAAAAAATTAGCCGGGTATGACGGCTTGCGGGTGGTCCCAGCTACTCTGGAGGCTGAAGCAAGAGGATTGCTTGAGCCCAGGAGTTTGAGGTTGCTGTGAGCTAGGCTGATGCCAGGGCACTCACTGTAGCCGGGGCAACAAAGCGAGTCTCTGTCACAAAAAAAAAAAAAAAAAAAAAGAAAGGAAGGAAGAAAAAGAAAACAGAAGTCAGAACCATAATCGTCCCATTGTTCTGGTTTCCCATGTCAGTTTCCTTGTCAGTTACTGCATCACCCTTGTGGCCCAAAAGGGGTATTGCGTCTCCCCACATGTTCAATTTAATGCATTTCAACCCATGGGAGATTGGTTTCCTTGTTCAGTACAATTTGAATCAACATTAAATGAAGCAGTAGACTTCTGTAGGTTTTAAAATGTAAAATTGATTTTAGAATAAAAGTAATATTTTTGTCTGTGATCATTGTAAATGATCAAATATATAAAAGTTCCTTACATGGTGAGACTCCTTTATTTAATTTATTATAGAAATTTTATGAATCATCTAAAAGGAGAGGATTAAAAAAATCCTCTGTAAAAAATCTGCTTTAGGGAAGAATTGAAGTCTTTAAAAGTGAACTAAAAACAGTGTAATGGATATGAGTTAAAAATGGCTAAAATACAATATCATGCATGTAAGCCAATTTAGGAAACTAACCTTTGTCTCTCCAGTGAGACTTAGTTGAGGAGGGAACGGGAAATTTGGATCTTGATCCTTTAGTACTCCTGGCATCTAGAAATAGGATTGGCAAAGAGAAGACCACATCACATGCTTTTTCTGACCCTTAGCTTGGCAGTTTGACCTCTAATATAAAGGCAAGGCCCAATGTCTGGAATCAGTTGGGACAAACTCTAGAAATAAAAATCACAAAGAATTTTTTTCAACAAGGGGCAATTTGTAGTCAAATGGACCGTACTTTAGTTGAACCCCAATTTATAAAAGAGATGTTGGTGGAAATTTGTCACTAGCTTCATGTAATTATCGTAATCTTATAATTTCCCCCAAGTTTACTTTAATGAGCACCTCTTTAAAATAAAAAGGAGTATGAAGTATCAACTCTTTCAATAGTTAAAATATGATGAGATTTGAGAAACCAGGGATCTACAAACACTCATGTTCCTTAGATTTTTCCAAATAATGTGTTGTCCACAATGAGGAGCCTCCACTAAACAGACTTATGGTGTGAATTCGGTTACAAAGAGAGATGGAAATGGCATTTCCACGGGCGTGGCTGAGCAGTCACACACATGGCTTCAGGTAATTCTTGGAGCACCTTATGAGGTCAGTGTGGCTGCTTTTTTCATTTCACAGAAGAGGAGATACAGGCTGGGAGAATGGGAATAGCTTGACCAGAGCACCATGAGATGGTCCTCAAACCAACCGTAGCACCTTAGCTGCCATTGTACATTCAGAATGAGGTTTCAAGATATTTTGAAAGTAGTGAAAGAGAAGAAATGGACTCATGTTCCAGATTTGGGGAGAGGTTTGTGCAATCGTACCAAGATGCTGACTAAAGCAGAAAATTCTGTCTTGGATAGAGTAAGGAAGGCACTGGGAGATGAGGTGGGAAATGGGAGAGTAGTTGATTGAAAACCCGAAGCATCGGGATAAAGAGTTTGCTTTTGCAAATGCTGCCATTGGAAAGCAACTGAAGATGCTTTGAATATAGTAATGATAAGCTGTCAGGGTTGGGTACTTAGTAAAATACTTTGATAATTTGCTTAACAAATCGTTCTTTGATATCATGTAATATAAAAACTGAAATTTTGTCATGTCAACCAAAAAAATAATTATGAAACCCACTTACTCCTAAACTCTGACCGCTAAGGTTCTGCATGTTTGAGGCCAAGCTATTTTAGTAGCCTCCTCTTCTTCTCCTCTGTGTACTCCATCGTATTGGGCTCCACACTTGTTTGTGAGCAGGATAAACAAGCATCAACCTCAGGGCCTTTGCACTTACTCTCCCTGAAATGGTTTTCCACAGAGCAGCATCTCCCTCTGCCATTCCACCCTCTATTAGTACCATTCCACTTTGTATTCTGCTGTAAAATTTATTTTTCTAGATAACTTATTCTCACCTTATATTACGTATTTGCTTCTTTATTTTCTGTTTCCTCTCACTAAAATCTGGTCATCGAAGGAGTTGGAACTTGGCTTTATTCACTGTTGCCTCCCCAACACACTGGAGTGTTGGACATTTGGGAGTTAAGTGCCATCTTTAAGAAAAAGAATAGAAAATTACAAAACAAAATAGGAATGGAAGTTAATACATATTCAGAATGTAAGAAAAAACAAATTGCAAAATTTAAAATGCTTATAAATACCACATACATCAGAAAATCTAGAAAAATAATATTTTATTAATTTATTGTCTGACCCACTTCTATACTTTTTCCCCCAACAAGTTTTGGTAATACTCTTTGATTGCCTTTTCGAATTATAACAAGTTTGTAATAATATTTTATATAGGGAGTATAGAAAAATTATTGTCTTTTCTCTAGCACGGTTGATCAAATTTAAGTTATTGAGAGCTTAGAAAAGCCTTTTAACATCAAAACATATTATTGCTAATGTCTTGTAAATTTTTAAATTGTTGTCAAATACAAAAAAGCCTCTATAAGTTTCTTTAGCATATGAACCATAATGTTTGGAAGAATATTCCACAGAGTAGCTTCTGGCTCTATGCATGCCCAACCTTGTTTCTCCTCCACCACACATGCACTTTCAGTCCTGGGTCCTCAGTATATGGACATATTATATCCTGATGCCTGGCCTTGCACCTCCTTTTCAACCTTAGGCAGTAGGAATACTCTGGAAGCCATCTAGAGGAGGACATTACAGTAACCTGACTGTGGAACTGTGGAAGTAACTGTGAGTGAGCCCTATAAATAGGTCCCAGGAAACCCAGCCTGAATGCATCCCTAATTCAACTTTCTTTAGCTTAGTTTCAGAAATAGCCACAGCCATTGAACACTACCCAATAGGTCAGAAGGAAGCTTGGATGTGAAGAAGACAGCAGCCATAACCATTTGCAGTTCAGAGGTTTTGCTTTTGCAAATTTTTAAAAGCATGTTATTGTGAGAACACACTGATAGGGCCACTCCCAGAACTTTGAAAGAGATCCACGTAAGTCAGGGGTCCCCGAAAACCAAGCTTTTTTTTTTTAGCTTCAGAGTAAATCCACTCCTGGCAGTATGTTTTATGGTATTTATAAAAGTAGACACTCAAAAAACATTTGGCAAGTGAATGAATGAATGAATGAATGGAGAAGTACTTTTTTGTGTTTCTTCCATAGCAGTGCTAAATCAAAGTGTCTTCAAATTAAATTGGACCCATTAACTGTAGGCTACATTTATCATATTAAAATCATGCTAAATATCTCGGTCATTTGGCGATCTATTCTCAACATGAAACACGTCAAAAAGATGTATTAACTATAAACACAGATTTAGTGACCATTTCCTTTTTCTTTCTTTGGGGAAATTATCATTTTCTGTATAATTTTGCCACCCTATCAAATGTGTTTTCTCAAAAGTATACCCTGAGCAGAGCCATTACTTGGAATGTCTTTCTACCAAAGTTATGAAAACACTTTCTTCAGTGGATTTTATTTTTGCTTTTTCTTGAAGGACAAAAACTACTTGGTGGCATTTATTTTATTATTTTTGTAGCTCCTAGGGAGAGAGTTGTGTGGATTTTTTTTTTTTTTAATGATGTTACAGCTTGAAGGAGATGAAAAATTGAAGGCCTGTAATTTCCAGATGGGCTAAAAATATAGATTTATTTAGATTTTAATTTAACTGTCTAATGTGAAAACAGAGATCATGCTAGAAAGGAGAATGGGATGTCAGGCCAGAACCCTCATATTGAATGAGGATTCCTGGCCTTTAATAGGTTCCTTTTATTCTCTTGTCCAGGGCTGGCGTATCAGTCTCTCTGGAAATGAGAAATAAATCAAATGAACTCTTGTAAAACCTGACTCTGAGTATACATTTATGCACCATTGAAAACCTGTGTGCCACTTTCTAGACCTGGAGTCTTTCAGAGCATGCCAGCATCAAAACACTTCTCACAAATACTGGGTTTTTCCACTTGACATTCAGATTGAGATAGTTTAGAGAAGATGAAAAGCTGTGAGGCAAATAATGGTATATCGACAGAAAAGCTGTGGCCGTACTGCCAGATTTCTTTCCCATGCTGAATTTAGGATAATGGAATCCTGTGATGCTGTGAGTGGAAATACGAGGCCTCAAGTTGTATTTATCAACTATGAATCAAACACAGGCAATATTTCCCACATTTTCTTGGTTGTCTCTTTTTAAATTTTTCACTTTTCAAAAATTCAAAATAACCTTGGGACCTAATTGGAACATACACAATGGTTAATATGAAAAGACAAACATAGATGCAGCCATCTGTTTTTTTTTTTTTCTCCCCCTGGTAATCTGGGGAAAGAATATACGCATATGCGTTTGAAGGTAGGTTTTTCTGTTAGGTGATGTGTGAATGGGTCCAAAGAGGTGACATTTTCAGGTACCCTATAAAGATAGCATGTTACTGGGCACCTGAATTTCCTGATCACAGTAAAATCTCTGGCAAGTAATTTTCTATACTACTGTTTACTACAACTTGAGGTAGGGAGAAAGAAATCAGTTTAAAATGATCAAGAAAATGAATAAAAATTATAGGCTGCCTGTTCAAAATCCCTTCACAGTGTGTGTTTGTTATAAGTAGAGTAAACAAGATACAAGGCAAGACATGCTTTATCAGAAAAACGCAAACATATTTCAGCATGATTCAAAAAAGATAAAGATTTTTTTTTTCCTTAGCTTCATTTGGCTGGTGTAATGAGTATTATTGATTAAAATGTTAGGATCAATAAATATTTAAAATCAGAGTAGAGGAGACCTTAAGGAGGAGAAATAGGTTATGTTCTGTTAAATAAGCTGACAATTAAATGCTTTACAGAAAATTGATTTTCTTTTCAAACATGAACTGTCAGTTATACTGCTTGGCCTTCATTGGCATAGACTGTTCTGCAGCATGTGTATGCATGTCCACGTAAAACAATACACATTGCTATCAGACTCACGCACTCAATATTTGTGAACATCATGTACATACAACTAGAAGCTAATTATAAAACTTTAGCCCATCTGAACACGTGTTGATGCTTTTATTAATAAAAGAATTCTCTATAATGGTAATGGGAAGCTTCTTTTCAAGTCATTTAACAGCCAATGGAATTTGGCATGTTTCTCTTTGGAACACAATTATGTATAGTGATACAGTTGCACGTTGCCAGGTTTTTTCTAACAGTAATGTTTTCTTCCCTTTCTCCTCTGTTTCTTAATTCATCAGTATCAAAACCTACCAAATGTATTAGACTTCTGTGTTACAGCCTCATAACCAAGCATAGATGTTCCTCACAGAGAAGCAACTGCATTGTAGAACTTACTGTCATCTGTAGGGAGAAAGACTAGATAAATCTAGAAAAATACATGGGTAAAACACCAAACCACAATGAGATAAATGCAAATATAAAAAAAAGATTAATCAAAATATCAGTAAGTTAAAAAAAAGCAAAACAGAATCCACTAATATAAATTTTAGGAAAAACATCTGAAATTAGTGAGCATGTTTATGAAATATATGAAACAATTATCCCTAAGAAAATAATTTAGAGACCAGCACCTTAAAAATTAACAAATAAACATAGGATTTAATGGCTGCTATAGAGATAAATGTGAAAAAAACATAAAAGAAATAGCTTAAAGAGAAGGAAAAGAACAATTGGAAAGGCTCACCAATCACTGAATTCTGTTAGAACACTTCTCAGGGGTACCCTGGACACCACATTCCTATATAACTAGTTACAGGTTCCTTTTGGAACTTTTACAAACAGTTTCTTAAACTGGGTCCCAGAAACACTTTTTTTTTTTTTTTTTTTTTTAAAGAGACAGGATCTCACCCTGTTGCATAGGCTAGAGTACAGTGGTGAGATCATAGCCATTGCAGCTTTGAACTCCTGGCCTCAAGCCATCCTCCCACAGTACTTGGCTTACAGGCATGAGCCACCATGCCCAACTAAGAAATACATTTTTTAAAATCAGTTTTGACCATAGTGAATAGTAATTTCAGTTGATTTTTCTAAGATATCTGTGCATCAATTATTATAAATCTATTAACTATCAATATGTAGAAATAGATGATAAGTATTCCAAAAGTCATCTCTTCAAAATTCCATGAAATATCAATAAAGAATAATATTTAATAATAAAATTTATTAAAATTTTTAATCTTCTATGGATAAGTGCTCTCACAAACATTGTTCATTATGGGTTTGTTTTAAATTTAACTACTTAATCCATGACCCCAGTAATATACCTGTATGATCTACATGAACAGGTGTTCTATGTAGAAAAATCAGTGGTTCATTATCCCTTCACTTTGATTTGGGCTGATATTTTCTAATTTTGAAATTTGTAACCCAAACTGTCTCAAAGACTGTATCAGGAATGGGTAGGGTCTGACCTGCCTCTGCCTGGGCCCACAGGTGCACCCTGAGCGTGACCCTGGAGCAAGCCATCATTCTGGCCAGAAGCCACGGACTGCCTCCCCGCTACATCATGCAGGCCACAGATGTGATGCGCAAGCAGGTAGGTCTCACCCACGTTTTAGGGGAGTTGTTTTGTAGGACTTGGACTCGAAGCTTCCTTTATTCACGTACCAGGTATCTGACAGGTGCCTGGATGTGAGTGACAGGCATTTTACCAAGCTCAGAGGGTAAGTCGCAAATGGGAAACACTCCCAGAGAGAAGACAATGCAGGAACCTGTGTGAGGGTTCTCCAAGAACCTTAGACAACCCTGGGAAAAGGGATGTTTAAGCAGTAACTTAAAGGAGGAAAAATTGGCTGAGTACAATGAGATTGAAGTAGACTTGGGACTCATCTAAAGAACAAGGTAAGAGGACATATGGTATTTTCTGGAAATTATAGGTGATTTAGCAAGGTTAGGAGAGTAGGTTGGGGGAGAGATGGGGCAAGGAAGAAGAGGAACGAATTGGGCACCCTGCTTGCTTCTGGTGGTCCCCAAGGGACTTTCATGCCATGCTAACCATGCACATTATTCCCAGGACAAAACACTCAGGTTTTCCTTTAGAGGATGAACAGCAGTCTTTCAACTGTCTTTAGATCACTGGAGTACTTATACATGAAAGTATACTCTTTTATAAATAGAATGAACTTTCTGTATAGTAACCCAGTAGTATTTTAAGTGTGGTAGTTTAGTTTTCAATCCTTAAAATTCTATTTAAAAACAACAAAAATGCACTAACCTCTAATTTACTGATTAGGAAAATGTGCTTACTACAGTAGAAAAGATATTTACTGTAGAAAGACAAAAAAATAAACATCAATTCTATGTTATTCTACCACCTTTTTGGGGGGGGGAGGTATTTACAAAAAAAATCGATTTAATAAATCTCTCTACCTGCTGACTTGGTTTGAGTTGCCCAGTGATAGCGAGTGATTTAATTTACAATATATGGTTTTATAATTATGAGTGCTTTGTTTATTAAAGACGTAATGCCTAAGTCTCAGGCAAACATATAAATCCCTCTGGGCTTGCTCCCAAGATTATACTACAGAATGTCAATGAAGCCAGTGAAAAGATCAACTGAAGAGGGCAACACCAAGTTGGCATCTGCAACACAAAGATAAGGCACAGCGAGTGCATATACATTGGCGCTTCTGGCCAGGACCCAGGAGCTGAAGATTGAAGACCAAGATCGCAGAGGGTCCAAGAGGGATTTGCTAAGTAAAGGTTAGATCTACCAGGAGCATGTAACATACTGTGGTCCAGCTGGAGAAGGACAAACACAGATGTGAATTGCCAGCAGGTTTAGGAGGGATTTTTTTTTGGGGGGGGGCGTGGATATACAAATTCTGCTTTAGAAAGTAGATCAAAGTAAACTTATGATTATCCGTATCAGAGCTGGCATTTGAATTGCTAAGACACACTGAAAGAGATTAACTGCCTTTCTGTTTTGCCATGTTGCTGTTAGAGTAAGTTTGCAGGAAGACTTGGAGGAGCCATTTCTAAATTATAACTTATGGAAAGAAAAAGAGACCTGAATTAACCTTTTTTTTTTTTTTTTTTTACAATATTCTACTAAAGGATTAATTATGAGTTGGCTACATACTCATTCCTACTGTGTGGACTTGAATAATTATAAGCATATCTAACACCTTAAAACTTCTTAAAACTGAAAATAGAGATAGAGAAATAAAGATTTCAAAAGTAAAATTGATATTATATAGACCCGAATGACTCATTTGACTAGTGTAAAATTCTTTAAAGTATCATATATTTATGTAGTATTAACATGTGCTTATATCATGTAAAATACAATGTAATAAGAAAGACTTAAAAGTCATGTAGTTCCTTATAAAATTCTTGTTGATTTCTAAATTGCATTTTTTTCTGGTTTTTATCACTCCTTCTTCCCCCTTTTTTTTTGAAAATAAATTTATTTAGAGCAAGTGGCTTTTTTCCTTTGCTGCTTTGTTCCTCTGCCCCAAGTTGTGACGTCCCAAATGGCCGCGAGAGGTAAAGCAGTGATTCGAAACTTCTCTGTGAAAGATCACAGAGCCTGGGCCCTCTTTTAGAGACGCTGGGCTGCCTGGTGCACGGCAGAGACTTCTGGGACGTTCTTTCCGTTACAAATCCTCCTTCTGGTGTTCAACAGTCGCAGCAGTGGGCTTAGGGGCTGGGATCCAGTCCCCATGCCACCTCTGCCCCACTTGCGATCAGTTGGAATGCAAGTCCCAATCAAAGACCTCACTTAGATTTTCTGTCCCTTTTGCCTTTCAACCTCAGGGAAAATTACCCATTTAAACTCAGCTTCTCAGAGGCTGAATGGGTAGATATTTGTCATCATTAGTCTATGTCGAAGTATTCCAATTATTACATTATTGAATTTGAACTCTATATTGAAGTATATTAATATATTTATTAATACTACATATTGAAGTTTAACAATATGTAATGAGTAAAATAATGAAGAAACCAAGATTTTTAGTTTCTTTTTAGGAACTAGAAGCTTTTGGCCTGATTTATTGTTCTCATTTATAACGGCAGGATTGTTTTCACATATAGATTTTATGTATGTACTTCTCATAGAGAGTTATTGTTTTACCTCACTGCTTGAGTTTGTAGGAAAAGGATAGAAGAGAAGGTTACTATTTCATTTCTAGTTATTTTGTAATGATTATAATATAACCATAGGCAACACTTCACATAACACCTGATCTAATTCATAAAAGGCTGGAAGTAGAAACCATCATTTACATTATAAACTTAAAGTTTTCTGTGCTACAAGTTATATGTAATACCATTCTCCACTGAAAAGACCCGGGGCCCCTTCGAGAAGTGACGAATTAATAGCTGAGACAGGGAAGATGAGCCGGAACATCTTGAAGTGCCAGAAAGTAAAGAAGCACTAAAAAATGATGGGGGCATGTTAAAAAGGCACAAAAAGCAACACGAAAGAACTCCCGGTGGCCAAAACTGGAATAAATTGAGCATAACAATAATAATGATAGATTATTTCATAGAATAAAACAAATATCTATGAGCCCATATTGGTTTAAATATATAATTGGATAAATAATAATTTGGGAAGAAGGGATAATTCTTTACAGAAGAATTCCAATTCATAAACAGTACAGTATTATTTTTGCAGATAAATCAATGGAGGCTAGCATTAGTAAGCAAAAGTTTGAAGAGAAAAAGGATATTTGTATAGTCTCATAGTATATTCCCAAGCATATTTATATACTACAAAAAAAAAAAGATGATACATTTATAGTGGAAAAAATCTGGTAGACATCACTTTAACTGAGTGATCAAAGCTAATGTCACCAGTGACAAGACATTGATATCATGTATCCCTGATAATGATGCACTGAGAACGGCACAACGTCCCTTCTCTAATTTTCTTGCCATAAAGGTACTTCCTCTGTCTAATCATGAGGAAACACATGAACCCAAACTGAGACATTCTGCAGAATAATGGCCAGTACTTATGGAAAGTGTCAAGATCATGGAAGGCAAAGACGGGTTGAGGAACTGTCGCAGATTGGAGGAGACTAAGGAGACATGACAACAAACAAAATGCAATATGGGACCCTGGACTGGATCCTGGAACAGAAAAGGGACATTGGTCTCTTAGGGACTACGTGTCTGTAGATGGCAGGCGCCTTGTTAAAAGCTAGGGGTGAAACTTGAATAAGATGTTCAGTTTAGTTAATAGTGTTGTACTGATATGATTTCCTGGTGTTGACAATCATACTGGGATTTAGTGAAGAGTTAACATTAGGGAAAGCCAGGTGGGGAATGTAAAGTCTCTGTTCTGTTTTTACAACTTTTCCCTTTGTCTAAAATCATTTCAAAGCAAAATTGTTTTTTAACGACTAGTAAAGTGCAGTAGGGAGAAGGGAGAAGTGGACGAAAGAGTTCAATCTGTAACTGACCACGGGCAAATAGTGGAGAGAACTCACTACCTTCAGTCCAGCCTGAATAAAACATCTTTTTAACTCCTTAATATTTTGATAGAATATATTTTATGCCATTTTTTCTTCCTTTCTCCTTTTCTTTCTTTCTTTTTCCTTTTTTATTATTTATTTATTTATTCCCTCCTCTACTCTGAAGGAATCTTCCTTTTCCTTAGTTCAGAATTTAGTAGCTGGAGAGAAAGCTTGAGAGAGAGAGAGAGAGAGTGTGTGTGTGTGTGTGTGTGTTTTAACAACTCTGCCTTAACCTATTCCCAGCCAAACTCCTGGTGTTTGGTTCTGTGTAGTAAGTAATTTTTTCCATGAGGAACTGAACAGCTTCATTCATGAACTTGACAGAGTGCAAAAAGACTACTGTCCTTGCTAAAGTAGATCCTCTGTATTATAAACTCTGAGGCAGAATTCTTAGATTTCAGAGACTCACATGGACATGCCTTGTCCAGCAACTGCTTTAGAACTATTTGAAAAAATATTTTCTTGCTAACTACTAATAGCTAGCTATTCAGATAAGGAACAAACAGGTGCATGAGGCTGACAGAACCATGATTTCCATTCCAGGAAAGTAACAACACAGGGGAGGTATTTTTAGATTGCCTGCTTTCTATTTTCAACATCTCAGGTATTGATTGCTTCTAGGAATAAAGGCATAGATGAGATAGCAAACAGGAAGCTGTTGTTTAAACTTGTGTTGAATGATTTAGATAGCTATAGAAATAAGTGTTAATCTTTTGAAATAGTGTAACAGCTCATTTTGATTCTTAAAACTGTTAATTTTGAAAATGCTCAGATGGTAATTTCCATGGTCTTCTGCATCCAGTCTCTCTTGACGTTAAATAACGTTGCTGGAATAAGTATTTCATGTTCAGATGTTAATTGTATGCTAAATCATCACTAATGCAATCTGGAGGTAAGAGTGATTTTCCTGACTTTCAGGGAGCAAGAGTTCAGAACACAGCAAAGAACCTGGGAGTCAGAGACCGGACCCCCCAGTCTGCTCCAAGGTAAGTACACCCACTGCCCTGCCCTTCCCCAGAGGACTGGCCGGCCCTTCCCAGGCAGTGTCCCTCACAGCTAATGCATCTGCTCTAGGAGATGCCAAGTGTCCTACTGATTGTTAGGGTGGGGATGGCTTTTGAAACACTCAATGGCTAAATGTGATTAGACATAAATGCTCTCAGAAATAGAAGGATATTATACTGTTTCGCAAGTTCCATCATGAATTCAAAAGCAAAAGTCCACACAGGTATAACTGAAATGTGCAATCCAGCTGTGCCAAACTACCAAAATGCCATTTCCATTTATCCTTCTGCCATTGCACATGCTGTTCCTTCTGGCATGATTGCCTTTCCCATCTGTGTCTGTGTGGAAAATTCCTACTTAACTGCAAAACCCAGCTCAGATGCCATTTTCTCCTTGGAATCTTGCTTGAGTTTCCTTCCTCTTTGTACTCCCTTACCATTTTATATTTTGATATATAGCTTTTCTCATATTGTGTTGGAGAATATTGTTACACGTTTCATTGCCCAACCTGAATATGAGTTCTCCGGAGACAGAGAATATCTTTTTTTTTATTTTTATTTTTCATTGCTCATCATAGTGCCTACATAGTAAACATCACATATCTGAAATAATTTCAAGAATGTGTGAATAAATAAATAAATGAATGAGATCTGTATTTGTTATATGAAATAGTCACAGTTCACCTATCATAAGAAGGACTCCAGTCTTTAAAATACCTTTAAAATAAATGAACATAGTTAACAGCCATCAGAGAAATGTTTTCAGTTCAATTTCTCTGGTAATTAGGGTAGGCAATCATGTATCTTGAAGTGGGCCAGAGCTAAATAATTTCTTTTACATTTGATTCCTTTTATACATTTGCATTTTATCAAAAAGTAGGTGCCTCCAAACACTGTAGCAGGCAAACACTATGTGTTTCTGCTTATAAAGCAGTTACCAGAGTGTGAATGATGGCTGCAGTATTTATAAAGTTATATTTCATTCTGAAAAATTATGTGGGTAAGTAAAATGCTTTCAAAAGGGAAAACATATTTTCCCCCTGAAAATGGATGGAGCACTCATGTTCTAGTTGTATTTATTTTTAGTGCTGACTCTTAACTCTATTTAATCCTCAATTTTCGCTAACATTATCTTTCATAGTTGATTAGATTAGAATCTAAGACTTTCTATTGCTAAAGAATCATTTCACGTAAGCATTCTCTCTCCAGCACCTTGAGAGACATGGTATATTTGGATAACAGACCCACCAAAGTGTTAAAATACCAATAAGAAAACAAGATAATGTCCCTGCAAGGTGTTCTTGGCTAGAGCTTATAAACACTAATAAACATAGGGGTTGGAAGAAGCCTTCAGCACCCTGATCAATAAACCAATATGCAGTCTGAACACAAGAAGAGAAACTGATGAACTCCCTTTTTTTTCTTTATTGGGTTATGTTGAAAACACTTGGAATGAAACACAATAAAATGAGCCAGCTATAAAGTTGACATTTTTTACAAGGGAATAATAGCCCTGAGAGAAAAATTAAGAGTAAATTTTTAGATTTATTCCTTCATTCATTCTACACATATTTTACCGAGGACCAAAGAAATGCAAAGCATGCCGGTTTGTCCCGTGAAGAATATAAACCTGAGATAGAAATAGCTCTGGCCCTCAGGGAGCTTCCAGTTAAAGAGACGAGGTGAGGAAAGCATAATTGCGAGAAAGGTGGAATGTGGGAAGCACCCTGGAGTGTGCAGAGAGGCACTGAGGAGCACAGAGGGGCTGAGGCTGAGATCCTTCCCACTGGGAACCTGACTCCTGCCCCAAAGACAGTGAGTTGAAGAACACATTTGGCTCTGAAGGCCAGACCATCATGGGCAAAGCTGGGGTTGATATTTCTGGAAACATCTTCATGGAGGTAAAGTTTGCTATCTCTGCTTAAGGTAGTATTTTGTTCAAATCCCCAACCCATCTCTATCGTAGTTTTCCTTTCACCCTCCACTTGGCAAAGATAGACTGAATTTCTGCTATGTGTCTTTAGGTGGCAGGCCCCTTATTAAAAGCTGGGGACAAAGACATAGTCCCTTCATCGGTCATTGAGGTGCAATAGAGCAACAGTTGAATAAAATGCAGCTAGAATACAGTGTGTGATAAGAACCATGGTAGAAATAGGCACAGACAGTCAGGAGAACACAGAGAAGGGGCATGCACAGCTGAAGGATGGGCAGAGGAGGCTGCAGCACACTCCTCACTCATCCGCATGGTAATGGATGTCCCACACGCAGATGCAATAGCACCAAGGCCCAGAGAACACAGGACATTCTGGAAACCACACCTAGATCTCGATGACTGACTGTTGAATGTGACTTAAGAATGATGCAAAAGGAGACTGGAGATGTAGGTGAGGGCCAGGTCAGAAAAGATTTAGAATTTTTCACTAGCAACATGAGGAAGGTCCATTTGAGGCCAGCCAGGGCCAGAAACAGGAGCTTGCAAGGAGATATTGGTAGTGCTGAGGACCAAGATGAGACGATGGATCAGAGAGCTGTTTAGAAGACAGAATTAATGGTCTTTAGACACTAACTGGTTGAAGAAGGTTAGGGAAAAGGGAGATTCTGGGATGACCACCAGATCTTTAGCTTGGATGACAAGGGGCTAATGGTTCTTGCCACTAAGATGGAGGCTGCAGAGAGGCAAGTGCACGCACAGGGAAAAGGTGGGGAGCTCAACTTGGTAATATTGCAATTGAGGACCCATGGGACATGTGCATGGAGATGCCTCCATGGGCAGGTGAATGTACTGGTCTGAAACTGAGCTGAGAAGGACTGGTGGAGCTGTAGTCCTAGGAGGCGTCCATATTTAGGAAGCAGGAAAAGACCTAGAATTTTCTTCCTGAGGTGAGTGGGTCAGAGAGATGAGAGGAGGCCAGGTTCACCCCAGGGGAAGGTCACACTGAAGGGAAAGCAAAGGAACAGGTCTGCGGAGGCTAAGACAAGCCAACAGGAGATGGTGGTTCTGGAGTTTCAGAAGGAAGACTTGGCCATCATCACACTACAAAAAGAGTAAATCTAATAACATATGGGATCAGAAGGCTGGGGAGCAGGGTATTGGATTTTGTAATTCTGAGCTAGATCAGTACTGGGTAGTGACAGGGTCAAGCCTTCCCTCGGGAGGGATGTTCTCCAACATCCTTGGCTCCAGCACATTCGGCACACTCCCCTCCAGCAATTTATGTCTGAAAGATGTGTCAGGAGCTGCTTTTGGCATTGGGATCTCAAGATGGGTGAGAAACGCTTCATTCACCCAAGGAGCTTGCAGCCCAATGGAGAAGAAAGACAAAATATATTTGGGCAAGTGAATGTGTATCATGATAAAACATATGAGAGGTCAGGGTGCAAAGGACATCCTTTCCCCCTCTAACTTCCATACATTGGCTCTGCAGAGCAGTAAGCCTGTCTTCTTCAAGAGCCAGATGTTACATTCCAGATGTCAGATGGCCAGTTGTGGCACACTGACCTTATTTTCTGTTCTGACACAAAATCTGGAACTATTGTGCTATGAAAGCTTGATTTTCTTCGTTTATTTAGTTGGGAGCTAGTATACCATAGTGGTCAAAAGTGAAAAAAAAAAAATGGTTTTGAGGCCCAACTCCTGCTAGCTATGGGACCTTACTTAAGTTATATTTCCTCTCTGAGATTCAGTTTTCCTATTTGTGAGATAAGAAGAATTGCCTTGGGACAAAGCATTATTGATACTTTTAACCTTGAAAGAGGCATTTGCTTTCCGGCCATCTTTAACACAGCTTTTATTTTTGCTATATAGAGAGATAAAGGGCATGATCTATAGAATGAACTTTGAAAGTTCTGCTCTTGGCAGATTTGGATTTGGGCTGGAAATACCAGCTCCAAAATGACTACCTGAACCCAAACAGGAATAGGAGAAAGTGAAGCCAAGAACAAGCCTTTCTTGTGCAGGGCCGCGGGTGTGCAGGCGTGGACTTAGAATATAAAACAAAGGCCCCAAAAGTTGGGCAGACCAAGGCCTCACACTTCCCAGAAATTTAGCTGCCAAAAAACAAATGCCTAAGTGCAGAACGAGTCCAACCCTTACCTATTCCATTTCACTTCCAAACTTCATCTGCCTGTTCTAAATTCCCAAAGCTCTGTAATTTCCATTACAAATGTGTCTGAACTCAAATAACCCTGAGTCACTTCCAAGAAGCCTCACAGAATCTGAATCTGCCCAGCTCCACAGTACCCAGAGCTATTATTTCATTAGGTGGTCACAGGGAGTAGCCTCTTCTCCAATTTGCAAGGCGGACATTTCAAAGACTCATCTACCCAGTGCTGTTATTATAGTTACATTACGTGGAAACGTGCAGAGCAAGGTAATAGCATGCAACGGCTCAGGCCAGATCTCACAGGGCAGGCAGGACCACCTTCCTATTTTTTCCAATTTCTTCCACCCATCTTCTTATTTCTGTTCTATGTAAGGCCACTGTGCCTTTTCACTCATTAGGCAGAAAAAAAAAAAATAAGAGGAAAGAAATTAAGGAGAAAAAGAAACTTCTGATCATTTTATTATCCCAGCCCCGGGGAATGCAATTTGAAGCAACACCACATTTTTCAGCTGCAAAAGAACCTTTGAAGTACACTAGGTCAATTTAATGTATTCTTTTCTCCAGGAAGGATGAAATAGGCTTTTCTGAGTGAGATGTCTCTATTTCAGTATTCTCCTCTTCCATGGAGGTAACATATAGAGCATAAACCACATTCCAGAATTGAAATGCATCTTGCAAACTTCCAACAGCAATAACTTCTATGCGTTTCCGTATTAGGAAAGCTCATTTTGTTCACTGGAATTTATAACCGAATATTACATCTCGTTCATGCTTCTCTTTTGTTTTAGAATTAGCCTGGGATTAAATGTCAAAGGGAGAAGAAATTTCTAATTGGCTAAATTGGTCAACAATTCATTTAAGCTGAATTCAGTTTAATCTGTAACAGGGACTGAATCCCTGCAGCTAGCCCGGGGTTTGCAGTGCATTTACAAAGGTGCAGAGTTGACATCTTCCCATTATATTTTGAGGTCATTAATCTAAGCTCTGCAGTGGGACCAGCGTGGCCATGGGCACTGTTGAGAGCAGGCTCAGTCCAATCCAGCCCCTTTAGGTCAGCAGATCGATCTCCTTTGAGGATCCGCTGTAAGTAAAGCATATGGCCTTGAAGTCACTAGTTCTGTCTGGCAGCTGTTATATTCTCTTTTACTTTCATTCTGGAGTTAGCATTTAACCACTCAGGAGAACATAAAACACTAGAAATTGTGTAACCCTAGTTAAGTCCCCTGAGCTTTGCGTTAATGCCGTATGATCTCAAACATCTGGGCCTGGGCTGCAAAGGGGGCGCGTGCCCAGGCAGCTCCGTGGTTCACGTGCACTCCTTGACCCACTTGGAGATCCACGGACAGTTGAGTGGGGCTGAGCAGTTAGTCCTTAGGAAGCACCAGTTAATTGTGCCTTTGGGATTCAGGCCTCGGGAATCTGCCTCATCAGCCCGTCTATTCCCAGCCAACTGCCTGCAGCTCGCTGACAGTACAAAGTGAAGTACATTTCCACAACTAGTCAGAAAATCAGTAGACCTCTGTGAGGTACGTGCTGTCTTGCTACGGGATCATCATGATACTTAGGGTGGTAATATCACTTTTTGGAATCTGGGGAACAGCGTTTACTGTCAGCTCAGTGCACAGCCTGCGTTGGCTGCGCTGGAGCAGAGGCAGCAGGTGTACAAAGTGCAGAGTGGCTCAGCCAGTGACCATCAAGAGATGTGCAGAGAGGCATTGGTGTTTTCTAAATCCCAGAATGGAAATTTTGGAGTTTGCTAAATCCTGTGCTACTTTTAGTGAAATAGACAATGTGATCATGACTCATGGACCGAGAGATTATTGTCAACGTATTTGTTCTACCAATAAAGGCATCTCAAGTAATGGTGACACACCGGGCCACTGTCAGACTTTCCCATCCTTTTCTAGGCTGTACAAGCTGTGCGAGCCGCCTCCCCCAGCCGGAGAAGAATGAAAAGAATTCTCAAGGACCAGGCAGGCAGAAGCTTCTCGGTGCTGGACGAGACAAACTACATGCCGGTTAAAGATTCCCTGCTGAAGATAAAGAAATTTTTCTCTAAATCTTTCACCCTGGTGTAAATAGCTAGTGTTCAGCTTGTACTTGGATATTTATGCCAGAAATGGATAGGAGTTCACTCAGACAATTCAGCTTCACAAACTGATCTCTCTGTGTTTTGGTAGTAAATATTTATCTTTAGTGTAAAATCCATCCTGGAACTTACAGAGAAAAAAAAAAAATCAAAGATTAAAAAATTAACCATTGTGTCTCCACTCCCGTTCATGAAAATTATTTCATTGTGTTTGTTTTCATCCCTCCCCAAATGGGCATATGTAATAATGGATAGTTCCACTCTGAAGAAGTCTGCCATGGAAGAAAGGTGGCAAGGCATCCTGAAAAGATGTTAAGGACAATAGGGACTGGGAGGCATAGGTTTCAATTCGCCACTTGCATCAGAGGAAGTCATTCATGTGTGACAGGTGGAAAAGCGTGCTCCCTCTTTCTCTTTAGGGCTTATTTCTCTGTAGAGAGGAGAGCTGATTGAGGTCTCCAGCAAAATTTCCTTCCAGCTGCTTTCGGGTGTCCTTTTTGCTCGTGGACAGTGCCAGCGAACCGGTGCTGTCCTTGGTCTCTGCAACGGGTGTGACTTCCTTGGGCCATGCCTGCTGGGGGCTGTGCCATTGGTGGCCCTAGGGTCCAAGGAGGGGCAGAGAGGGGAACCAAGATAAAGAGAAGAAAAATAAGCTTATTTAAAAACTAAACCTTTAACTTAGATAAATAAAACTCTTAATTTTGTGAAGGCTGTGATATGAGACATCAGATTCTTAAAAGAATATATCATCATGAGAATTTTCTAGCAAGGTTTATGTATAGCATATGAAAGTAAAGCTTTATTTGTACTTTAAAAGGACTACTAGGGACCTTAATAATTTTACGGAAGCACAGTTGTGTTCTGTTTTCATTCTAAAGTATGCATAATGTTTATCATTTCTACATTGATACAGTAATATTGTTTTTAGTATAGTGAATACAGTAATATTGATGTTAAATCCATAATTTTCAAAACAATTAAACACTCTTATCATGATTGTGATAATTATATGGATTTAGACTAGTATATAAAATGCTTTTCACAACTAAAGTGTATGTAAACCATTAGTAAATCTTAACTTATGAAATTCGATAATGGCTTTCAAACTGTCATTGAGAATCTTCTTCATTAGCAGTTGTGCATTGAATAACAAAAATACTTTGTCACATAGGTATGTGACGTTTATATACTACTAGTTAAGGTAATAATAATTGTTATTTGGCACAGAAGCACTTGATGCTTTTGTAATAAGTCCATATGTATAATGAAAAATAAGGAAACCAACATTAGAGCTTTCAAAGAAAAAGTTAGGCATTCAAATTTAATAAAGATATGACCTTTACATAAATATCTGTATTAAGTATGTCCTTGACTTAAAGGGTCTCAGCAAGTAATACTGAAGACCCATGTGATTTGTGATTTTCCTTTACTGAAAATTTTATCACTTTCAATGTAGGGCTGATGAACGAACACCACTGATTAACTAGTACTTTTCCTATTGTCATTACTATTTTCTAATTACCATTGTGGGAGCAGTAATCCTCATTAGAGGAATGAAGGGTTCGCTGAAACAATTCAGTTGTACTTTGCTATATTTCACAGGGCAAACTATTAGCTATTGGTGGTATTTATAAATTAACATATTCTTAAGGATCTACTCTAATATGACAGAATGTGCTTAATATTATTTTTAGGGTTAAACATAAGTGTATCATCTGTCAGAGCGCTTGGTACTTACTAAATGCTCAAAAGTTAGTAATGGTTTATATTAACATCAGTCAATGTAATTTCTGATTGTAATAAAAATTGCAGCTAACACTTAGTGATTACTATGTGCCCAGTAATACCTCCAATTGCTTTGTCCGTATTTGTTGTTATTGTTTCACTTAATCTTCCTAACAATGGTGTGACCTGGTACCCTTTTTATCACCCCGATTTTAGAGTTGAGGAACCAAAGCAAAGAATGGCCCAGTGATTTGCACAAAGTCACATGATTGACATGAACCAAAATTTGAAGTCTAAAAGTCTGCCTTCTTAATATATTATGCTACTTTATTTTATTAATATAGAACTATTGTAAGTAATATTACCAATTAGCTGTAAGTTGGAGTTATGTGGCATGTGTTGCCATTAAATTATACATCTTATACTGAAAACAAAAGTGAATGGAAATATGTAAAATGCTTTTAATATATGAAAATCATATGATTTCCTAGACATTTTACCATTCTCAATGCACATTTTGAGGTAACCCAACACTGTTGCAATTCTCGTAATTGAAGGTAACAGTTTTCATAGTATATAGTACATAGTACTAGTACATAGTACATCATAGTACCTCATATAGTATTTATATCATATAAAACTTGACTATAATTCCAAAACAGTAGTAACAGTAAAAAATGCCTAATAGATGGATGAATAACAATTTTTTCAATACCATAATGTACCTCCATGTGACATTGGACATTCAATTGGCCTTGAGTTTTTAGAATCTGTTTAACTAAAGCACATGATTCCGTATAGCCAAGGCACCTTCAAATGTATCTAAAGCCTACTGCCTGTTCTTCCGAGTTCTGACTTTGGACAACTACCCCTCTTCACCTAAAAGGGAAGGTCCTGTGTAGACATTTTGGATCTTAACATGGGACCTGACTTAAAAATAATTTTTGACTAGAAATTCACAGTCAAGACATCTTAAGTATTCCATCAAACCTTATAAGTTTCTCTAATATTAATTTCTAATATTACAAAATTTAAAATAATATGAAAAGTATGAGGAATTTGAGAAGACTGGGATTTTACATCTATTTCCATTACTGTTTAAAGAAAAAGAAAGGGAGAGAAGTAAAGAGAGAGAGAAAGCATTTCTGGGCTGGGCATGGCGGCTCATGCCTGTAATCCCAGCACTCTGTGAGGCAGAGGAGGGAGGATTTCTGGAGCTCAGGAGTTCGAGACCAACCTGAGCAAGAGCAAGACTCCCATCTCTACTAAACACAGAAAAATTAGCTGGCCATGGTGGCACGTGCCTATAGTCCCAGCTACCTGGGAGGTTGAGGCAGGAGGGTCTCTTGAGCCCAGGAGTTTGAGGTTGCTGTGAGCTAGGCTGATGCTCTAGCCAGGGCAAAAGAGCAAGACTCTGTCTAAAAAAAAAAAAAAAAAGAAGAAGAAGAATTTCTGTACTAGTTTTACCTTTATTAGATATGTAGTGTTGAATTTATAGTATAAGCTTTATTTCATAAACCAATTTCCCAATTGAAGTCTCATACTATTTTCTGTCTCTTCAAAGCACATTCTTCGAGTGGCTTAGATTGCTTGTGCATTTCTTGTCCATTCTTCTTGCAACAACAATGTTCAACTTAAAATTAGGTTAATTTCTTATGATATTATATATTACATGAAATGACACTGGTTCTGACTCTATCAATTTAAATTTTGTAATCATTAAAGACGTAATGAAATGAAGTTGGCCTTGACACTAACTGTGAAAGCCAGGAAAATGAAAGGGTAAACAAATCCTAAAGGGCATATTAATAAATTTAAGGAAACAAACTATTTTCAGTCCTTCAGGCCTTTATGTTTTATAGACAAAAATGGTATTTATTGATTCAGAAGCATTCAGTTGAAAGTAAATTACTCTTAGATATTTGAAACTATTACATTTGTATGTAAAATACTAAAATACCCTTTTATTAGTTCAAGTAGATCTTTTCCTATGTAGAATGATTTAATGCAAAGTAGTGGGCATATTTTTATTCACTTATATTTTTGAAAAGCCATAATATTTTTTTTAAAAAGGATGACCTTACTTTAATTTTTACTTTACATTTTACTTTAAAGGTCATTTTTAGACTTTCTGCATAGTGGTATTGAAATTAACCTTTAGTATTTGACTAAATTGCTTCTTAATTTTTGGAAACGATGTTTACTTTTTAAAGACTTATTGTTATATGAATTATCTTACTAAATTATAGCTTAGTAATGCTCTCCTAGCCAATAGTAATTTCATTAACATGTGTGTGTATGAGCCAATTTGCTGAATGAATTGTCAGTTGTCCTATTTAAGTACTAGGGCAAAAGCTTTTGAAATGATTTAAGATGATCTGAATTTTGATTAAGAAAAATATTCTCTCCTCTATCAAGTGTTCAAAGTTTTCGTGATGAGATTCAGCAAAGCTTCACCCTGCTTGAAGCAGAACCGGTGGGGAAAGTTACAAGAGGGGCCTGTGCTGAGAATGGTCCCAGGATATTCCTTTCACAAATATTGGCCACTGTCTTCCTAGGTGCTGCAATTCCCTGATGGTTATTATGGTTAGTCTTTGGTTTCAGAAAAATTTCACTGCCTCAAAGCTTTGCCATTAACAGTGATCTAAGCATTCATATCCCCAAGCATCCACTGGACGTGCATGGAAGGCTGGGAAAGTATGGTCTGTGCATCGCCTAGCAGTCGTGACCTAGACACAAGGCCTGCTTCACTCAGGATAGCTTGCTTCTCTCACTGGGAAGAGAGGTCTGCAATCTACCAAGTCTACTAAATGAAATATGTATGTGTATGTGTATGTCTATATATTATTCTATTGACTACTTTTTGTTTTTTGTGATAATACATTATAAAAATTACTTATGTCTTGTTTTGTAAGAAGATGGAAAGTGGAGTTGTTCGATGTCTTGAACGAATGTCTGTTCTGTAGACACCAGAGCTATCTATGTGTGTGGTGAGCGTGCCTGGTAGAATGTCTTTTGATCACTGACACTAGTTTGCTATTCAATCTGAAATCAGTTGACCTGGCTTTGCCATTGAGATGTGGCTAATTAAGAACAAATTGTTGAGGCTGAAAATTATATTCCTACTAGAAATAGAAAGCACTGGAGAGTTCATTTTAGGAGCAAATAACAGAATGAATGCCATCCACCCATGTGTTCATTCTACAAACATTTTTTGAGAATTCACTTCATATAAGGCACAGCTATTGGGTCTGGTGATGGATAGGTTTGATTCAGAAACTTTTACAGTGTCTCTGTGTGTTATTGATCACCTATGTCTTTTACTTAAAATGACATTATTTGTAACACAAACCCATGCTAGTACGACATGTGTGTATATGCTGTAGGTAGCCAAGAATACTAAGTTGGTAAAATGCTCTAGAAAGCAGACATTTGAATTTGAAAATCTAATGGCTC